CGCGGGATTAATTTGACCCTTTTGGCTACATGCATCGGCAAGGCCCACCTGATACCGGCAACCGTGGCTCCGCCAGCGCCGGTGCTATTGGCAGTGGTCACCTGACATGCGCACACACTGTTTGTTGTTTTTTTCTTTGGCTGTGCTTGAAGAGGAGCAAGGGGACTAGGGGGCATGCGGGGCGCTTCCAGCAAGGCTCGACCATCTCCTGCTCCAGCCATTCGGGTCTCGTGGCCTGTGGCAGGGCACGCACAGGTTAGTGCCGCCGCAGCACGCGCCATGATTAATTCGCAAATCCAGGTGCCCACACGGAAGTCCTGACAAACAGCAATTCATGCTTCATGGTCCAGCCAACATATGGTCAGGGATAGCCTAGCAGACTTCATGGGATCTGTGTACCTCTTTTTGTACCTGGCTGCCTGGCCTCCAGATGCAGTTCACAGCCACGAAGCCCTAGCGGCCTGCCAACCCTGCGCGCCTCCTGAAGAGCAGGAGCACGATCAAGAGGGCTTGTGAAAGCGACCAGGCTAACGAGTCCAAACTGAGGGTCATCGTAGTTCTTCTGACATGGCATTTGGCAGTCCATCATTCAAGTAGAGCTGCACATTGGCCGAACTCAGAAACAGTTTCAGCTGGTTCTGGAAGGGCTCTTGAGGTAAATCTCCAGTATAGCTGGAAGGCATGCAATGATGAACAGGAATGCTGATCAACATAGATCAGTGGCTGGTCAAACCGACAAGCTGTACAGAACATGGGATGCCATATCCACAGCATGTCCAACTTGCTTCCGGATGTTGGCATACAGGGGGATATGCTTGATAGCATCATTTGCAGATTGCAAAAAACGTGTGGAGCAGCAGCAGTTACCGTTTTGTCAGCTTGATGCATGGCTGCACATGGCGTCCGAGACCGCCAGCAGTAGTGCGTATCTGGAGCCGTCCTGATTTCAAAGGACAATCATAGGTCAGGACGGGAAGCAATCTCAGAGAACACTACCACCCATAGACCATATCAAGTAGGTTGCACCCACCCACTGCATTCAGCTTGCCTGGAGAAACTTCGTAGCTCTGCGACTCGTGAAGCGTCGTACAGGTGCATGTGACAGTTACCCATTTCCAAATGGATACTGCTTTGAGTTCTTTTCTGCCGCAGGTGATGACCTCAACATTGCAGTTGGCTAGTGCCTCGTGGTTCTAGCAGTCTCAGAGTTGTCTGCAAGAAATGGCAGAAGCAGCCACGCCCACTCTTGAGCCGGAGAACCGTGGGTGTGTAGAGTTTTTCTGAAGGTCGAGCGGCTGAAAGCCCAACTTGCTGAATCCCGTGCTGACCTCTGTAGCAAGGCGCGGAGCCAAACGGTGCAGAATGTTGAGTGTACCAACCCTGTATTGCTTTGCTTTCCGCGGCTGTTACAAGGATCATGCCCTCGAGGAATTTGCAAGCTCGGCTAGGAGCGAGGCCTGCAAGCGCGCGGACATTTCGCTGGTTCACTCCGTCTCGGCATTTTTTCACTAGATTCTGGCAGGCTTCGGAGGCTCCTGTCTTGCCCAAAGAAGGTGCAGAGCAAAGCTGACGGACTATGAAGATGTTGCATGGCACGGTGTGGAGGCGGTGGTGCCACCCGGGATTCTGATTCCATAAGCTCTTGCTCCAGGCTGGAGTCCGGTTGAGTTTTGATTAGTAGTATAGTATATGCTTCATGAGTTCCAGTTGAAGTGCCGTTTCTTGTCATTTATGCTGCATGTGCAGCGACTACAGCCCGCAGTTGTAGAGGGTGTTGAAGCTCGAGGTCCAAGTCCGAGCACCTACAGGCTTCGCATTGCTGCGTAGTCACACTGCGCTTGAGGATTCCATTTGTGTTTGGATGCCGCAGGCCCAAGTGACGGCGCTGCAGGAAGAGGCGAAAGGGCTTGAAACCGGGAAAGAGGTTGGCTCCTTGTCGCTCACCCTTGCAGCCCTGGCAGTTGCGACAGAAGAGTGGCAGCTTGGCAGCCAAGATGGTTGGTATTGTCACAAGCACAAAAGGGCCCAGGCCTTGGTGAAGCTCTCCAACAGGTGGTGGATGGACATCTCTGAAGCTCAGGCTGTCGCAGCAACTGATTCTGGAGCGGCAGCAACGGCTGGCCTTTGAACAAGAGGCAGAGGGGATGGTTATCATCAACGCAGAAAGTTCATGCTTCTTGCATGTGCTGACGTGCTGTTCCGCCTTTCATGGCATTGGCCTGCTTTTGCCCGGCATTCACTCCTTGCTCCAACAAATCCGCCTCGAAAAAAACTCCTGCTCATCAAATTCCAGAACAAATTGTGCATGAACATTTATCATATTATGACTGCTGTACTACAGGGTTTTTTTGCCGCTGAGACACCGTGTTGCATTGCAGGCTTGGTCACAGTATCGTACACTGCAACACGCCGAGCACGTTTTTGCCAGGTAAGGGCGCTGGTGGAGGCGAAGCCTTTAGTACAGGCCCCCGAGAGCACTTGGGAACCTTGGTGTGATCGTGGTCCCACTCTGCCGTCTTCGTGATTTTGATCTGCCTTCACCTTCCGCCGCTTCAGCGTTGGCTCAAGCAGAGGTGATTGAGCCCTTAAACATAGTTGTTGAAGCTCCGGCCCTACGTGGCGGAATGCCGTGATGAGCTCAGAAAAATGAGAAAGGCTGAAGGCGAAGGCTGGATCTTCAGATGTTGTACGTTTGGCACGGTCAGCACGACCCAAGGTCCAGGGGTTTTGGTTTTTGGAATCAGTGACCTGTTTTGCCAACTTTGCCTCTGCGAGGTCAATGGCATTGCGCCTTCTTTGCACCGGCGTAGCCGTGGTCAACGCTGCGGCGCGCCCGCTCAGCTGTGTACATTTATGTTCTTGTCTTTCTGGGCAGGCGGGGATAATTTGTAATCTACAAAGATATATGAGATAGTTCCGCTGATGCTATGTTGCTGGGCTGTCACGTAAGTGCATACAGTTTTGAGGGGACGTGATAAGCGTGGGCGGATGTAGACAACAAAAAAGCTAGACAGCAGATCTTGCTTGGGTGTAACCGAAGAATTTCTTCCTCGATGAACAGCAGGCAGGGCAAGGTGGCTGAAGTACCCGTGAGGACGTTTGGGGACTCCGCGGCTCTGCGCCTCAAGCTCCAGCGCCAGCACCGCCAGCATCGGCCTCGGCGCCGGCGCCTGCGCCCAGTGAGTCCTCCCAGGACTGGCATTTCGACGTACATGTGTTCTCGGAGTGCTGAGCAAATTCACAGGACGGCGAGGACATTGTGGCTGGTGCTCAGAATGCTGCCAAGGCAGCCCAGATCCAGGCGTGGTGTGCCACCCATGTTGATATATCCTTCGACATTCGATTCGTGCATGACATGACGCCTAAGCGACGATGTCTGCAAAACGTCAGCCTTGACAGCTGAACACCGCCTGTTCAGCCGGAACTTCGAACAGGCTACACATTTCTCAGTTCTTGTTGATCTGCTCGGAATGGCTAGGCGCAGCAAGCCAAGCAGGAGATGGCTCTGGCAGCTGGGATTATGAACGTGTTTGTAGGCAAGCAGAGATCAAGACCTTGTTTGTGCGCACATCTGAGGCGCAGAAGATTGCTCAAGAAGAGAAAGCAGCCAAGCAGGCCATGCCAGTCCGTTTCTGGAGGCTTCCTGAACTCGGCAAGCGGGACAGGCTCAGCAAGAAGCTGCCTATGCCATGGATAAGGCCAGGCGGAGGTTGTGGCTAGCATCCAACCTCACAGCTTTCCCCTTCTGTAATTTTGAGATCCATGCAGGCCCAGAAGGATGAGGCAGACGTTCAGCACCGAGAGTCTGAAGTTGCCGCGGAGAAGCCCCGATCACAGCTATTACAGCAGCAGCTTTTGTGAGTGCGTGGAAACGTGAAAATTGATGCTCACCAAGGCGACAGGCGGACGCGAAGATGCAGCGGGCTGACAAGCTTGCACAAACAGAGGCCTTGCAGCAGAGCAGCAGAGTCTGGTTTCTCCGCCTGCCATTGCTGGGGATGCTGGGGTTGCATGCCCGGTGACAAAGCCTGAGCTTTTCGGTCTGCATGCCAAACCTCTCCCAAGGTTTCTGTTTTTTTGTTGAGATCTTGCTTGCGGCGCTCGCCTGCAGGATGCCCGCGACCAGGCAATCAAGAATGCCAAGGCAATCGCCGATGGCGAGATGGCGAAAGTGTGGGGCCCCCACACTGCCTATCGAATCTTTGCCGTAAGGCTCCTTTAAACCCTTGAAGCTGTTGAAGGCAATCCGAGGAAGCTTCCCTGCAAAAGGACGGGCATGCGCTCTGAGTGAGCAACGAGAGCCCGGCAGCAGATGCTAACCACCTCTTGAGCTTGCAGGATTTTGACTAATCACAAACAAGTAAGTAAGGCACTGAGAAGGGGAAGGACATCATAGTCGTGATCGAGAAAGCCGTGCAGATAGCAATATGACTTGAACAACGAGTCTGCCCCCTCAGACTGCAGACGGGAACAGAACCAGTGCCATCAAGTGTGATCTTGCAAAGTAACAGGAGGAGCAGCGAGTTGAAAGAGAGAAAGCTGAGGCAGACAAGGCCTGCCAAAACTGCAAGTTTGCTGACAGGTGGCTCTAGCAAAGTCTACTCCTCATCCGACCCCAGGATCAGCAAGCCGCTCAGCAGAGTATGCAGCAAGTGGCGGGGCCCTCAGTTGCCGCTTGCAGTGCTTCGGAGTTGTGCGTGGCTGTAGTTAGAAGTAGCAATGCTGCATCTAGGAAGCAAAAGCAAAGAAAGCCGACACAGAATTTGCCCGCTACCCAGTTGCCGCTGCCATTGCTAACTCACAGTGGAATGAAACGGCTTCTTCTCTGTGAGGCCAGCGCCCACCACATGCAAGATGAAGCTGAGAGCACAAAGGTGGGATGGGCTCATATTGCCTAGATTGTGCGCCATGCTGGCTTGGCCGACAACTGCGAGTCCTCTCTCCTCTCCCAGATCACTGCCAGAGGCTTTTCCTCTTTGCAGGAGTCGGCCGACAACGAGATGGGTCGAGCCGAGCACCTCATGGATCTTGCGAAGTCAGTGCCCAAGCATGCCCTCGGGTGTAATCACTCCTCTTGAAGTGTCCCAAGATATTTGCAGGGAGGACAACAAGCCTAATCAGAATATGAAGCGAGAAAAGCTTCCGCTTGACCGCAGGCGAATGCATCATGAGGAGCTGGAAGCCATGGCAGCTGTCTGGGCCTGTAAACGTGCAGTTCATGTCAACATAGCAGAGCGCTGGCTCCGCCCAAATCCCAAATCTCCACCAAATTCAGGTGCGGCAGATGGAAGCGCAAGCGAAACATGACCTGCAAGTGGCCTACAATGAAAAGGCCAGGCCCACCCAGCATGGCCCAGCTGAAGTTGTGGGCTGCTGCGTGGCTATACAGAAGCTTTGACCAGGATACCGCCACGCAAGAAGCATCAACCGTGAATATCTCAGCTGGCTCTGCCATGCAGAGTTTGAGCGATTGGCTTTCTTTACCCGAGCTGGCTCAACAAGGGGCTGCAAGTTCAAAAGATTTTTTTTTTATGTTGGACACGTATCAGATGCGTCCTTAGCTTTTTTTTGATAGCCCGAGGTTCACCAGGCAAGCACGAAGGCCTGGAAAGAGTAGTGGCGCAGTGTGGCGCTTTAGGCTTCAAAGGTTGACCTGCGGTGATTGCTTGAAGCTCTGCGTTAGCATGTGAACTCCACCCAAATCAAGTTTATCTGCGAGATCCGAGCTCTCGAGAACGAGAAGACTCGTCAGATTGCCGTTGCCAAGCAAGAGGCAGCAAATGCCCAGCCGTGGCCTTACATCCTCGACCAAGCAGATGAAGCGGCTGGTCCGCGACTTTGCAGAGCTTTCCCTCTAAACAGCTTCTTGTCTTTGCAGAGCCATAGCAGAGACGCCGAGGCAGATTGCAGCCAGCGCTGCTGCGGCGTGAAACCTAGCACACGCTTTGTCTAGCCTTGGTCTTGCTGAATGTAAGTAGAGGCAAGGTGAGACGGATGTGTTGCAACGTGTTCAGGAGAAGCGCCATGCGGATGCAGAAATTGCCTCTGTCGCGGGCATGGTTCAACAGGACTCATCCTTTAATCCCCCTAAAGACATAATTCAATAGCAGCTACCCTGCTGTTCGCGCAGGGCAGGGCGGCGGAAGCCAAAGGCGAGCAGATGATGAAGGAAGCCAGCCAACAGCAGGCTTGGGGAGCTGGTAAGTCCTTTGAGTTTGAGTGCAATTCTCTCTAGTGACTCTAGTGTCAAATGGTAAATTGACAGTAGGAAGCAGTACAAATGTGAGCGGTCAGAAGCGCTGCTGCTTGGTACAGGCTCACCTTACAGCGGTTCAGAAGGAGGCCGACAAGGTGCGTACACCCAGTGACTGGAACGTTTCAAGAGTCCATGGGACCGATGAAATCGATTAGCTCAGGCATTTATCCCACAGCCTTTTTTTTGATTCGATTTGTTCTGTCTGCTTACCCTGCTGTCAACACGTGGATTTTGCTTGCAGCAGCGGCAGATACTTGCAGGCAAAGGCAGCAGCTGAGGCAAGCTTACAGAAGGCGCAGCAATCCGTCCTTGTTGCAATTGTCACGTACATACCAACCAGTACGTCGAGGCCCAACAGATGGAGCAGGAAGAAAAAGCGAAGGCAGCAGAGGAGCAGCAGGCCTTGTGGATCGTTTAGGCTTTTCTGCAATTTTCTACAAGACTTCGACGGGCCATTTGACGCTAGGCCATTCAGGAGGCTCAACAAGCCAAAGACCGAGTGTGCTCCTCAGACCGTGACCAGCTGATCATGCGATACGTGTAGCTCGCCAATCCATGTGCAAGGCGAACAGCGATGCAGATGCAATGGAAGAGCATTTGGACATTAAGGAAAATCGCAGCTTGGACTGCATCTTTGCAGTCTCTTGCTTGTCCGCGGCCTCGTTATAGGTGAATTGACAGAGCAATTTTCTTCTTTGTCAACGTTCGCAGAACTCAGGTTACCTCAAGCTAGGCTTGCTCTTGGCAACGATTCTTGCCTGGGCTGCCTTCATTGCCTTGTCCTGGGCTTACTTGACGTGATTGACCTTCTCTGTGAAGGTTCCATGTAAGGCGTGCCCAGGAAACTTGGCAGTGCTGATGCATGGCAAGTGCACTGGAAGCCTGACAGCGCAGTGCCCAGCAAGGATTTGGTCGCGGTACAAGCACCAGGAGCTGCACGACCACCATCTTAACATGATTGTACGGTTCCCAGGCCGTCATTCGAGCAACTTCACGTCACCCAAGTGTCAGCCATGGTGTTACTTCACACCGGGAGCCGCAAGGGTGACAGAAAGTTTGCAGCTGCGCATCTCGACGCTCGTAGCTAGCAAGACTCAAACACATTCGTGAGATTACATCAAGCCTCAGTGAGGAACGCAAAACTTTGCAACTCCAAATACGGAAAGCCGTGAAGCGATGCAACCTTGCACTGTCGACCCACTCACGTCAACTGACACATGCTACTGTGGGTAGTTTTGATGCCAGGCTATCGCAAACATGGCAGCCTTTGAACCAAGGTCCGCTTGAATGGCGACAAGATGGAGTGCCGTGGCCTCAGCGGATACAAGTAGGGTGCCTTGAAGTTGCACAGCAAAGGAGCATTGTAGCAGCTGAACATTTTTGAGAAGAGGGTTGGGACGCGAAAGAGAAGTGCTGTGGCCTGTTATGAGCAATGTCTTCCAAAGCCACTCACCTGAAAAAGCAGCTCGGGTCAGACTGCCTCCGGGCGGACGCATTTCCCACATTCAGTTGCCGCTTGAGTTTGTCGTGGCTCCAAGGTCAGGAGTTGCTGCACGAGACCCTTGAGCGCATGAGGCAGCCCAGCGTGCAGTCGAACCAGGCCAAATTCTTGAGAAAGGTTTCATGCCTGCCAGCGGTGCTTGTGGTTCAACCCTGAGGAGCCACACACGCTCAGCCAGCCTTTGCTCGGGGAGTGCAACATGGATCCGAGCCCTCCGACACCCAACAAGGGTGGATGAGGCCAAAGCAGGACAGGTGATGAGTAAGCTACGCTGGTACTGCCAAGTTGCTTTGCTGAAATGATGGAGCTGCAAGAGCTGTTGTGCTGTTGCAGGAGCAAGTACCGAAGTCCGAGGACTCGGTTATGACTGTTGTTTCTGGACAGGCCTTGCCTGATCCGACATCTCTAAGACGATTGTAAGGTACCTCCAAGCCAGGGTATTCCCACTTGCTTTGGTGGTCCGCTAGACAAACTATGCAGTCGAGCTAAAGATGGCCACGAAGGAGGTTCCTGTGCACATCTTCAACTGACTTAGCCATGCTCAGCTACCATCTTTTAAAGCTCAAGGCCGGCTTTTTGCTGGTACAACACGAGGTGATATGTATATATATAAAGATATATATTTATATCCTCACGGGGGAACGTTTGCCGGCCCGTTTCGATCTCTCGCGCTCAAGAGCTGCAGCATTGTCTTCTGTTTTAACGCCTCTTTGAAAGCTCGAAGTCCGAGAGCTGCTGTCACAAGGGGCCGGTTCTCTCCAGGCGCACCCTTACTTAAAGACGAGGCAACAGTATTCTCGTGACAGCTGCTCCGTCCAGCTGAGGGCAAGTCTGTGTACTGCTGGTCTCGTAGCTCGCAGACTTACCTTCTGCATGGATCGTCCTGTGTTAGCCTGTTGATGCTGCTGTGCAGCAAACAATGTAAGGCTGAAGCAGGGAAATGCTCACTCTGCGGCCCCAGCTTGCTGCAGGTTCATGAAGCTCGAAATCTTGGCTGGTCCATCTGCAAATTGTTTCAACATATTTTGGAGCCTCTTGACCTGAACCTGTGATTTGCCGGGACGTGGAGAGCCTTTGACTCCCTATGGGGAGTTTGAGCTCTTCTTGACGAAGGTGAGTGCAGCCAGGGGGGCTTTGCAATGTCGTGAGGGGAAGATGCTTGATACCGTGACATTCGAATTTTGCTAGGTTGTCTGAATGGTTTTGCTGACATCTTCCCTAGAACGTCCCCTCCAGATCCTGACTGATGAGTTACGCCAGGAGGTTCCGGAAGACCAGCTGTTTTTTGCTTTCCTAGCGGGAGTGCCTGGCACGACAGCAGCTCATCAGCCTCTTGAGGTCAATTCCAGAGGAACTTGACCACCCCCTCAAACGATCCTCCCTCGGCGGTTTGCAGTTGGCCGCTCTTGAACTTTCAGATCATTGTACAGCATTTACGGTGCGCCAACTCGGCCGGGAGGTTGTTTGAGCCTTGTGTCCTGCGTTTCATCGCAGCCTAGCCGTTCGGGTCCAAATCCTGGATTGCATGCATCCATTCCGAGTCTATTTGTGAATTTGAGTCCTGGGAGCCATGCATTTCTTTCATACCATGTTGGCCTGCATCTGTTTCTGCTCAGGGGTGTTCGCACGGGTGGCCCTCTTTGCTCCCATTCATTAGCCATGGCCAAGCGCACCAAGAAGGTC